CCTCCTGAGGACTTGTAGGGCAAGGGTCAGCGAGAGGCGAAGGCGGAGAGGGGGAGAAAGAGAGAGACTGGGAAAAAGAGGGAGCAGGGGGCTGGAGGGCGAGGCGGAGGGGGAAGCGGGAAGCGCGCGCAAGGGAGGGGAGAGGAAAGGAGAAAGGGGGAAGGGGAAGGAGGCTCAGCAAGGAAGATCATAGACTCAACCGTGCGACACGTACGCGGACTCACAAGATGGCACCTTTCCAGTGTAACCTGCGACCCAAATCCAGCAAAACAGGTATGTGATGCTGTCCCCGAGCCGCCGTGATTCTGTCGTTGCCCGAAAATGTTCCTGTCTGGTGTCGTTGTTGCAACATTGTCCGTCTGAGCTGTGCCAGACATCCGGCCGTTTCGGTTGCGCTCCATTTTGCCAGCGCCCCGTTGTGCCTTATCGGGAGGTGGGCCACATGCAAACACGAGCTACAATATCGCCAAAGCATTATGCCGTGCATCTGGAACCCATCCTGTACGCCGCGCTTCAAAATCACTACATCCACCATCCGCGAAATCCTGGGAATGAATTCGGACCACAATTCGATGTCTTCATCCCGCATGGTGCCGGGCTGCGTGCCCCCTGTCGTCACCAACGTCGTCCTGCAGACCAGGCCGGTCGGAAGGTGGGTCCCTGCATACGTCGGATTCGCTGGAGTCGCATGGGCAGGGCTGGTGTCGTGGTCGTTGCTATGGTCTGTCTCTGGGTTGCGGCGCGGTGGCGGTGCTGCGGCTGTGCGCATCCGTGGCGATCCGAGTATCAATTTGGTCATTCGTCGGCGTGTTTGGCGTAAGTCTTGTTTGATAGGCTATGTCAGCACATCATACCGATGCCTCTGTAGAGGCGTAGTCGGTAACCCAGTGAATGGGTAGTGTTGGCTGGCGACCTCTTGATTCTAGGGGCGTAGAGGGATGTTATGGTCTTAAGGCCTAGATACATGATGGTGTTGGCCCGTGGTAAGAAGTCGATGTCCATGTCTGCTACTTTTGATCACTCGATAGCAATAACAAGGTTCATGTTGGCCATAACTTGGGTGCTGATCCGTGTCGCTTGCCTGGGTTGATCGAATGGGAGAACATTGCTTTCAAAGTACTGCAGCGTTGGGCTGTAAGGGAAATGTTGCCAGCCTGTTCCCCAATGCGAGTTCTCTCACTCTGGATGTATGATCTATGTGGCGCGAGCAAAACAAAAGCGCACGTGGTGCAATTCATCATAAACATGCTAAAATCGTCAACTCCAATGTTCGTCGTTCATCACACCTACCCACTCGCAACTTGCTGGCAAAACTCAACTGGCGTCATTAATGACGCGAGGACCCTTCGAACGCAGATCCATGATTTGGAAGGGTGAATGCTGATGACGATGATGGTGCCGCCGACGACTAGGGTGACGACGACAACGACGATGCCGATGATGATGTTGATAGCAGTGGTAAGGATGAGGACGATGACGATGGCGATGGCGATAAAGATCTTGTGGATGGCTGTAGCTAATACAACGCTGGCGATGATGCTAACAATGGTGCTGATGAGAATGATGAGAAAGTGCAGCGCGCAAAACAAACAACAACAAAAAAAAAAAAAACGATGCCATGTTTCGTGTTGAAAGGACATTTGTCCTTGATGTGCTCGATCACAACATTGAGAAAGTGCTGAGACAAACGATGGTGTTGAAAGATTCTACACTCGCGGACGGAGACGCAGGCGTGTGGCCCGCATGGTGTTATTTGACCGACCTGGCGGGTGCAAGATCATCGATGAATGTGTTCGACATGCGCACGCATGTGGCCCACATCATCTCTTTCGACAAGGTGGTAAACAGAACGGATTCCTTCATATTGCAGCGAGAGCGTGCGCGCCTGGCAACTCGTTGCTACAGCAATAAGTTGAACAGCTGTTGGAGATATCTATATGTCTACAGACGCAGATGATACAGATACAGCTGATACAGCCAACCAACGCACGTAGCGGCGACGAGAGCCCACCGGGCTAAAAACTCGGAAACGCCAGCCAGCCAGCGCATGCTCGGAATCACCAGCGGACTGCGAGCATGCATGCACTTCTTCCTCGAGCCCTTTCCTGGCACATTGACTTCTCCGCTTCTGCGTTACCGTTCCACCGTCCTCTTTCAAAGAGCTTGCGTTCGCCGTGCTCCCTCCTTTGTCTTTCTTCCCTCATCTTCCTGCCAGACCGGAAAAGATAACTTCGAGGGTCTCAGATATGATCTGAGACCCTCGAAGCCATCCGGAGGCCTCCAGGGGCCTCTGAGAGCCTCTGGCTCCTGGAGGCCTCTGGATGCTTCAAGCTCGAGTAGGGGATCGACTACGGAATCGATGTACCCCAAGATTGATCTACCGTCGAATCTACGAAACAGACCAATGTTCCGCAGATCTACTGACTATTCTGCGTATTTTCCTCGTGCGCTCGAGGAGAAGCACAATCCTGGGGTGAACCAATTCTGCAGTCGAGCCCATACTCGGAAAGCACCCCAAGGCCTCCGGGGGCCTCGCACGGCCCCGGAGGCGCCTTGCACGGCTCCAAAGCGGCCCCCCGTCCGAGAGCCCGCCAGGGTCAGGGGGGGAGGGGCGGGGGAGGGGGAGGGGGAGGGGTGGAGGGGGGGGGAGGAGGAAGGAGGAGGAGGAGGAGGGAGGAGGAGGAGGAGGAGGAGGAGGAGGAGGAGGAGGAGGAGGAGGAGGAGGAGGAGGAGGAGGAGAGGACGAGGAGGAGGAGGAGGAGGAGGAGGAGGCCCCCGGGAGAGCGGGCCCCGCGCTCGCCCCGCGCTCGCGGCCTGCTTCTCCTCCCGCCGCCTCGGCTCGGCCGGCGGGGCCTCGGGCGCCCGCCGGGCGAAGGCGCTCGCGGTGAGGTCGCTGCTCCTCGTGCGCGCGGAGGGGCGGGAGCGCTCGGGGGGTGGGGGGGGGGGGGGGGGCGAGGCGCTCCCAGGCTCGGCCGACTGTGGGACGCCGGGGCCGGACCCAAGCGCTGCGTTCCATTCTGTGTTCGTCTGGTTGTGCGTTCTGCTCTGCCCGTCTGTACCTCCCTGCCAAGACGAAGACTCAGAGCAGAACACAGCCGAAGTACAGCAAAACAGCGCTGTCGCAGAAAGGCATGATGGTGCTACATGTTTTCCTTGGATGCGCGCGTCCGACCGGAACATGTAGTACACCCATCTTGTAGTATATCGAAACCCGAGCGGTGTGGCCACTAAGCGCCCCCCACGACGCATGTACTACAAGATTTCTCACTGCGCGCGTCGCCCCTGGGGGGGCGACGCACACATAGTATGAGTATGTAGGGGTGACGCCCAGACCATCCTGATCGGCCACCGCAGCCTCATCCGCACGTGGTGTGCAAGCTCGACCGCGTGACTCGTGCCCCTGCGTTCAAGGAGGGCCGTCGCGCCGCTAGGGTTCCGAGTGCACCGCGGTGTCTCCCACTGTCCATGCGGTCCTGTGGTGGGTTCTCCATGGAGGGAAAGGCAGCGAGGTCCGTGCCCAAGACTGGACGCGGGAGCGTCGGTGCCGATCTTCGTGGATCATCCTCGCAAGATCGGCGACGGCTGGCCTGGACCATGACCAAGATCGGCGTCGACAAGAGCCCGCGACATCTTGGTCATGGTTATCGTGCGTCTTCCATCGATGCCATTGTTCGGCGGCGAGCGAGGGGGGAAGCAAGAAGGGGAAGGCCTTCACAAAGGCGACGAGACTTCTCAGAAGCCCTCGCACCTTCTGAGAAGCTTCCTGTGTTTCCGGGGGAGGCCTAGAAAACTCCTCAGAACGCTGCGGGATTTCCGAGCCTTCTGAGAAGGCACGCCCCGTCTCACTTCCCCTCAGGCTCGCCGCCGATCCTATGGCAATGTCGCCCTCGGGAGGGTCTTGTGTCCTATCTTGCACCCGCGGGCCAGAAAGTTCAGGTGTCCTTTAGCCAAGGTATTCGTGTTCAAGGTGCGCTGGTGCTGGGGGGGGATATTCCAAGTCCATCTCCGTCTCCTCAAGCGGGCCAGCTCCGTCTCCTCGAGCGGTTCAGCTCAGAGTTCGCCGCCGTACTTTCGGGTCGAGCTGGCTCCCTGGGTCACCAAACCGCGCGCGCCGCGCCCGACGAGGCGCGACGCGCGGCTGTCCTCGCGCCCCAGCGAGGCCACCCCCGAGAGGGCAGCCCTCCGGCCTCGGCCGCGCCGGCGGAGCGCGGTTACCTCCGCGCCCCTTGGGGTGACCCTGGGCTCTGCGCTGCGCTGACCTGCTCCCGATCGGACGGAGGGCCGTACCAGTCTCGGTCTTACGCGAGATGACAGATCGACCGGGCCGCCAGCGCGGAACGCTACATTGGAGACGAGGACGCTTACGCACGAGCTTACGCGGGCAGCTTACGCGCCCATGTCGGTGAATACGACCCCGTATGTTTGCGTCGCGCATCTGCGGGGGAACCGGCAGGCCTGTGCTGCGTCGAACCGACAAATCGCACAGGCTCGGAAACAGGTCGCATCGCCTCCGAATCGTCCCGAATCGAGTCGAAATCGAATAGCTGCGCCCGACTCTGACTGGCCCTCCGATGCCAGTGAATCGAGCCGCATCAAAACGGATCGGAATCGTGGCCCCAGCTGGCAAATCGACTCGCATCGAATCGGATCGTGGGGGGCCCTGACTGGGCCCGTGCCTCCAGCAGCAGGGCAGCGAGGCCATCGTCGCACACGGGATCCTGCTCGGGCAGCAGCAGGAGCGGGGGGGGAAGGGCGAACTAGCTCAGGGAGGAGAAACTCTCGGCGCGCGCGCGCGGCCTAACTCGTCCAAGTTGTCCTCCTCCTCCTCCTCCTCCTCCTCCTCCTCCTCCTCCTCCTCCTCCTCCTCCTCCTCCTCCTCCTGCTGCTCCTCCTCCACCACCCCCTCCCCCCTCCTCCCTCCTCCCGCTTGCCTCCTCCATCCTGCCTCCTGCCTCCTCCCTCCTCGTGCCTCCTACTGCCTCCCCCGTCGCCGATGGCGTCCCGCTCCCAGGCGGGGCGAGCGCGGCGCCTCCCTCTGAGATCCTGGCGCCGCGTCCGATGCGGCCCCTCGGCGGCGGGCCCCTCGGGAGACCTCCTGGGCCCCGATTCCCGGAGCGTGCAGGAGGCTGCACAGTCAGCCCGCATCATGAGGATGCACGAGAAGGATGCGAGCCCCTTTTTTTTTGCGACGTCGAACTCGCGCAGAGCGGATTGTGGGAGAACGCGAACAGCGCATTCCTACAATCGAGTTGGCCACGAACCACCCCTACCTACAGTACCGAAACCTGCATCGCCGTTCCCTGAGAAGGATGCGAGCCCCTTGGAAGGTCCATGCCGACACTCTGCGAGCGGGGCGCGGCCAGCGAAAGCGGCCAAGGATGGGCCGAAGGGGAAGGATGCAAGGGTAACCTTGGAACGTCGCTCGTCCTTACTATGCGGATTGACTGTAATCCTCTCTCAAAGGGAGCGCTCAAGGAGCAAGAGGGCGCCAACGATACAGCTGCACCGATTCGGGCCTGCTCCATCCTGGGCCAAGGATTTGTGCATACGCCCTCCTGACTTGGCCAGGACGGGCCTGGACGGAATCGGTGTATATGGAATGTTGAGGTCCTCCGATATGAGGGGTATGCAAAAAGAGCACTGAAAGCCTCCAGAAGAGATCCAGAGAGCTCCGAAGCCTCTGACAGAGCTCCTGCAGGGGGGAGGCGAAGAAGCGGAGGAGGAGGAGAAGGAGGAGGACCAGTGTAAACCCAAGACCCATAAACGATGTTGGAATAGACCCTCCCTCCAAGCTCCCTCTTCACAGGCCCCTACAAGGGTTCATTTCCACTGGGGGACTTGCCTCGTTGGGAGACAACCGCTTGAAGACCCTGTAGCGCACCAAAGCAACGTTTTCGGGACTCCAACGCCACAGATCAACCTGATTTTTGCGTCTCGACTATCCTGAATCGTGCCAGAACAACATTCCTGGGACTTAAACACCACGAACAAGCATAACTGTTGCACACTCACGTTCCTGAGTCCTTCCGACACGCAACTTATGGTGCGTTGGCCATGGGAACCAGTGAAACTCTTGCAAATGCTGAAAGCGAATGTGCGTGGCCCGAATGCGAGAGCCACATTTTAAAAACGACCCGCCCTCAACATGTGAAACTCTTGCAAATATTCAAGACGAGCGTGCACGGCGCTAGGACGGGAGCAGTATGTTGAAGACCATCGGTCTCAATTTTCAAAACTCTTGCAAATGGTTAAAAAGCGAGTGTGCGCGGAGCCAAAGCAAGAGCCACACTTTGAAAACAACCCGCTCTCCATCTGTGAAACAGTTGCCAATGTTTGAGCTTCAGGGTCATAAGAGTTTAAGGAATTATCAGGCAAAACGCCCGGCCCGCCCTTTCGACCGGCCTCGAGGTGCGACACGGAGGAGTCATTCATAAGGAAAAGAAATGGAGATGAAGGAGGAGGAGGAGAAGGGGGAGGAGTTCGAGTTCGAGCTCATGGGAGGACTGTCCACACCGTCTCGCGACTGATCTGCCTCAGAGCGTCGGGCAATACCCGACTGTCTGCCCCTGTGGGCTGATATGGAATATGGATGCGACCTATGGCCACTTGGCCATGAGCCGCGCTGCACCGAGCGGCGGCCACTCCCCGCTGACGCGCAGCCTGGGGAGTTGGGTGCCGCTCATTGGGGACCGACTGACTCGCTTCTGTGACGAGTATAGCCTCAGGTTGGACGAGGTCAAGAGAGCATAAATGGAAGCAGAGGAGGAAGGGAGGGAAAAGTTTTGGGCTTCGGTGGTAGCGGAAGGAAACAGGAAAGGAGGAAAGGAACGGAAGAGGGGATAGGGGGTTAAGCATTGATTGCCATAATCCGCATGATCCTCATCTTCCTTATATTCCACATCCTCATCAATTTCTGCGCATCCGCCTGCTCCTCCACCTCCAGCCCCACTTCTTTCTCGTTCTCGTCCTCCCCCTCCAGTCTTCCGGCGTGGAAGAGGAGGAGGAGGAGGAGGAGGAGGAGCAGAAGGAGGTCTACGACGACGACGATGGGGACAGGGACGTGCGCGCACGAGAAGAGTTCCTCGTCCTCGTCCTCTACCCTCCTCCTCTGTCAGTCGTGCAGGGGGCCACCGCACAGCGAAGCAGAACCGCCGCCCTTCCCCACCTCCCACCACATGGAGTTCCCGTCGGCGTGGTGCACTTCATCATGTCCCCTCGAGCTGCCACCTTCCCCACCCAGCCACGAGGGCTCGGGGTCTCGGGTTGGCGGTGTCTGCTGGCCTCTCGGCGGACACTGTGGCCTGCGCCTCCTCGACAATCGTGAACGAGGAGACCTCCGGAGAGCACTGCACGAGCGTCGGCCATTCGTTGGTCGACGGTCGTGGAGGAAGCGTGCGATGTGCGCCCCTCCTGGGCCCAAGCTCCGTCCTGCGGGGTTGAAGGGAACTGCCAGCTTCCCGACTGAGTGGAGTCCCATGCAGAGCGCCAGCCTGGAAGGAGGAGGAGGAGGAGGATAAGGATGAGGAGGAGGAGGAGGAGGAGGAGGAGGAGGAGGGAGAGAAGGAGGAGGGAGAGGAGGAGGAGGAGGAGGAGGAGGCGACATGCACCACATCGGGGGGACGGTCTCCTGATCTCCAAGGTGCACTGCATGGGCGTCGGCTCCAGCCGCTCGCCTCCGAACCAGACCTCGGGCGCAGCGGAGTTGGGGGGCAGGCAGGGAGGAGGACGGTGAAGACCGGGGACGAGGAGGTAGGGAGGAAGGTAGGGCGGAGGTAGGGTGGGGGAGGCAGGGCGGCGGAAGAAGCGGGGGGGGGGTGAGAGGCGAGCGACAGTGGCGAGTGAAAGGGGGGGCAGGAGGCAGGAGGAAAGAGAAAGGGAGGAGGCAGGGGGAGAAGGACAAGGGGGAGAGGAGAGGAGGAAGCAAGCAAGATCTGACAGCCCACCGCTCCCCAACCATCCCTTCCCCTTGCGCTGATATTTCTCTCTCCAACATCGCGTGTCACAGCGGACCTGGAAGTCCAAGAAGGATCCCGTCGTGTCATGCACAATTAGAGAAAACAAACAAAAAAGAGAGCTGTATATTGGAGGAGGAGGTGGCGGATGAGCAAGGGGAAGAGCAGGAGGAAAAGGAGGAGCAGGAAGGAGGAGGAGGACGAGGACGAATAGCAGCAGCAGGAGCTGGAGTAGAAGGAGCGGAAGCAGGGGGACAAGAAGAAAGCGGAGGAAGGGAAATACAAGGGCGGCGACAAAGATGAGGAAGGACTCGGACCCAGAAAAGTGCCCCGCGCTGAGGCCAGAGTGTCATTCTTGACGACGGGAGCAAAGCGCCGAGCCTAATATGAGGCCCACGCTGCAGCGGCAGCACCATCTTCGACTACCGAAAACGTAGGGGCTGCCAAGAAAACATTGAAGAGACCAATGTTTGAATCCCGCTTGTAGAAACCAATACGCGGAGGGGGGCGGGCTACTCCCCTGCCATCGTCGGGGGGGAGAGGGGAGTAGCTCTCAGACTGCGTAGCTGTGAAGAGCGAGAAGCGAGGAGGGAGAAGGAACGAGAGGAGGGATGAGGGCGAAGCGGCGAATCAAGAGGAAGGAGTGAGGAGCACGAGCAGTGAGGGAGAGAAGCGCTAGAAGAAGAAGGAGGGGGAGCGGAGGTGGTCGATTGAGACTCGACAGGATTCCATGCACCCACACGGCCGAGAAAAGGCCAGAAAGAAGTTGGTGGGGGTCCCTCAGCAGCTATTCTGGCTACTCCGCCTACCCCACCCTCCCTCCCTCTTCTTTGGGACGCCTCTAGCCACACCGTGGCAGGCCTCTCAGGCCTCTCCTCTCTCCCTCCTTCCCTCTTCCCATCCGACTCCCAGCTACCCTCCTCCTCCTCCTCCTCCTCCTCCTCCTCCTCCTCCTCCTCCTCCTTTCAGCCTTGGCGCAAGTAGGCACCCCTCCCCTTGCGGACGTCAACATTGGCGTTAGTTTCTCACACCGCGTGGATCACTCAACCCTGAGCGACCTCCGCTATCTCACAGCGGAGATCGTTCCAGGGTTGCCAGGTTCACCGGAGGACATCAGATATCCACCTCACCGATCCTAGCTGAACCGAGCCTGGGCCTGGGATGAGCCTGGCCAAGATCGGTGGGGTGGGTGGTTGGCTGACACCCCCCGAATTCGGGCCGCCGTTGGCCATTCACCTGAAGCAGCCGCGCCAGTGTGGCCGCCGCGTCGAGGCGGCGCGAACCTTCCGCACAGTCGAAACATGGCCCCTTGCCCGAAGTCCAACGGCCCCATGGGGATGTCCCAGACGGAGAAGACTCCAAGGTGGAGAACCCAGACACATTTTTCGTCGGCGGCAAGGCGGGGCAATACGCGCCAGCGAAAGAGCGAAGCAGGGGCACTGCTAAGCTAATTGTCCGGCGTGCAAGGGCGGACGGAGGACAAAGGGGCCGCGTAGAGAGCCCAAACAAAGAACGAAGGGTACCCTTCCGAAGCTAATTAAGGATGCTCCTGACCTCGTGCCGGCTGCACACCCCATCCCGCGCGGGAGCGCGGTGCACTTGGTGCGCGGGGGGGCCTCCTCGGCGCGGTCCGGGTCCACTGGCCGCATGAGCGCCGCGAAATCGAGCCGCTGGGCCCGGAATTCGGCCCTCTCGTCCGGCTTGTCCTCCAGCCGCAGGTGGATTCTGGCATCTTGGCGGCCGGCCGGAGGGTCACGACGACGACTGCGGCGGCGGCGGCGGCGGCGACGACGACGACGACGGCGGAGACAAGACGACGACGACGACGACGACGACGACGACGGCGGCGGCGACGACGGCGGCGACGGGGACAACGACGACGGGGGCCGACGACGACGACGACGACGACGACGACGACGACGACGACGACGACGACGGCGGCGGCGACGGCGACGATGACGATAAGACGACGAGGACGACGACGATAAGACGACGACGAAGACAAGACGACGACGACGACGATACGACTACGACGACGACGACGACGATAAGACGATAAGACGACGATACGACGACGACGATAAGACGACGACGACGACGACGACGACGACGACGATAAGACAATAAGACGATATGACGAAAGCTGCTCGCCACAGAGAACCCACAAACCCTGCGCCAGCGGCTGCGGCTACTGGCGACGGTGCGCCGAAGAGGGGGGGGCACAACGAGGGTGGCCAGCGCATCATAGCCCGAGGCATGTGCGGGGACGAGGGGTAGACGGGGGCATGAAGTACTTTGAAGAAGAGGGGGGGCATCAAATCTGGGAGATTTCCTGGCCCAAGCCATGATATCCACACACACCCCTTGTCCTCACCCCCCCCCCCTCGCCGCCCTCAACCAGCGGCCTGCCGGCGGCCGCCGCCAGGGAGGCGTCGCCGTCCTCCAGCCGCACGTGGACTCTGGCATCCAGGCAGCAGGCGGCTAAGGCCACGGAGGCCAGACTCGGGCTCCTCGGAGGGCTGTGGGAGACCTCTGGGGGCCTGGAAGCGCTACCGAAACCAAACGGGGCCCGCACAGATGGGATCGGAGGGTCGCGTGCACCGCATCGCCGGTCCCTTTTCGCTGCATCGGATACGCCGGGACGAAAAAGAATCGAGCTCGGGCCCCACCTACACTGTCCCCATCTGTGAGGCCCAGAAAAGAATGGGTGGCGAAACAGGCAGCTGTGCCCCACCACGGGCCCTGGCCGAGTCCATCCTGAGCGAGGGGCTGGTGCGTGTGGACCCGCGCGGCTTGGACCACGACAGTCTGTTCGTGACACGAGTCCAGGGCCCCATGACCGACCCAGACTGCACTCGTGCACCGGTACCCGAAGCAGGGGAGAGGGATAGGGGAACACGACCTGCATTGTGCACCGCGCAGGTGCGGCAGAAAAGCCTAGGCATCCCGAGAACAGGCTCGCCCCAACCCATACGGGGGATCGGTTTTCTGGCCTAGACCTCCATGGCCTGCGGATCCACTCGCTTTTCCACTCCTCGGCATCTCTTGAGATGCTCGCCATGTGTTCCTCGAGCCGACCTCATGGTAGCGATGGTAAGGCGTAGCTGACTCAGGCACGCATCAGATTTGGCAAAATGGGAAGCAAGAGCGAGAAACACAAGAGACAGCTGACAAGAGTAGAAGAGAGTTGGATTGAGGAGAAAATGTAAAGATGGAAAAGGCTGCAAGGGGTAGGGGATGTAACCGAGGTCACCAATTTCGCCCTGCGTGCCGAGCAAAGCGCGCAGCTCGGGGAAAATTCGCCCTCTCGTGCTGTTCGCTAACCAGCTGCGTTGGCACAATCAGGAGAAAACTACAAGGGTGGGTCGAACCATCCTCCTCCCTTTGCTTCATCCCGCTGCATCTTGCGGCAGTCTTCACCTCCACCCTGAAGAAGGGCCTGGGCGCCACCGATGACTGGCAAGCCCACCCGCTGCGTAGGCCTGGACCAATGCTTGGGCGAAGCCACGATCCTGGCAAAATCGGATCGGGATACATCGGGCATCTCTGAGATCCGGCGGTCCTGGAGCATGTATCGGGCACCGCGGCCGTTCCAGAGCGCTCTGGAACGCTCTGGAGATGTTCATCCTGATCCCCAGCCTGCCTGGAGCGCCGAGCCGTCTGACGCAGGTGGATGGAGAAGAGGACACCGAGACACTCGCCTGGCCCCGGAGAGAGCCCGCGCGGTGCGTCGGCGGTGCGGCGGCGGGACCGTAGCAACGCACGCAGAGGTTCCTGTGGAGTTTGCTGATCATCTCCTGCCGCCAGGACGGGCGGGCGGGAAACGACCGAGAACGACTTCCTGCTCTGGATGATAGCAGCACGGCGGTGGTTACAGTCGGCGTGCTGCCAATATTCCGAACGACAGTTGATTAGTGTCGTTGTGCTACAATCGTCGTGGTGCCTTTGGTTTGAGCGATGTCGCATCGTTTGGACTGCCATCGTCGATCAAAGCCCAAATTATGATTCGATGCTCAAACGACGGCCCAAAAAAAGGAGCTAACAGTCCTCCGACACAATCCCAGACGCGCAACGTACATAATAGCTAACATCCACCTGATATCCCAAAGAGATATCGCACATAGTCATGATCATGTCGGCTGCAGACCAAGGGTAGGAGGAGGACAAAACGATGCCCCCATCCATCCCAACGAGCAGGGCATGTTGAACTATGTTGAGAGTGAGCCTAAGTGCATGGGGGTGTCACGTCCCCCTTTAGGACGTCATCGAAACTCTGGGTTACGCATGATGGCTCCAGACGTCGACGAGACTGCCCGGCACGGTTCGAAGTGGCACAGGTTGGCTCCAAGATAGCTTCGGAATCGCTTCAACAACCTTCGGGAGCGGCCAAGAGGGGGGTGTCCAAGAGGGGGGGGCAGCATGTGCGCGGCCCAGCGGGGGGGCCAGGGACGTAATGAAACAAGAAGAGGCGCCATGAAATCTGGGGAAATATCATGGCCCCCGCCATGATATCCAACCCCCCCTAGTCATCACCCCCCTCTTTTCCGCCCCCGAAACCTCTAAGTGGGCACTCCCCAGACGAGGGCACGGCGCCACAACCCCGCGGTTGTAGCGCTTACGGGCCATGACAAGCCGCCAAAACGTCGTGATGCTGTTCACTGCGTGGGTTCCCGGAGCTCTCGCCCCCTGGTGCTGGTGTTTCGTTGGTGGGGTGCCGTTAACATAAAATCCCAGAGCCTAGAAACGACCCCAGGGACACAAATCTAGGAAGGTATACACCAACACCGATCCTGGCCAGGATCACCCTGGGCCCAGGATCGGTGTATACGCCCTCCTGCCTTGCGCAAGAAGGCATGTACACCGATCCTGGGCCCAGGGTGATCCTGGGCCAGGATCGGTGTTGGTGTATAGTTGGTGCCCTCCGAAATCCCACCAGCCCTCTGGGCGTAGGTGGTCAAACGGCCCATTGTTCCCCCTTTCCTAAGAACCCTCTTCCCTTCGGGGAGGGGTACCCTCCCCCCCCCCTCCCTGAAGTTGTTTGCCGGGGTCTGAGATGTGTCAGAGGATTTTGTTGCGTGCATGATGCCTCCAAAAGGGCCTCCGACGATGGCTCAAGATGGCTTGCAACATTCTCCAAGAGGTCCCGAGCACCGCTTCAAGACGGCCCCAAGTGCTCCCTGAGCGCCCGCAAGACCTCCCCAAGATGCATCCCAAAGAACCTCTGGGAAATAAATGATTTGCGTCGTCTCGCACTTTCTCTTCCGAATCGCTTTGAGGCCTTAAGATGGCCGCAAGATGGCCCAAGAGAGCCCCCCGAAGAGCCCAAGAGGTCCCCTAAACGCCACCAAGAACACCCCGAGATGGCCACAAGAAGGCACAACGAGGCGGTTTCGAAGGCTCTACAGGGTGGAGTCGGATTAGAGAGCCACCCTCCTTAAATCGATGGCCTCCACGATGGACCAGGGCTCCACGCACTGAATGCAAAGCAGCAAGGTGCCTCTGTCTGGGATGCTCAACAAACAACAACAAAAATCAAAATTCACAAAAAAACACAATTAAAAAAACAAAAAACAAAAAACGCCGCTGCGCGGAACGCAAACGACGACGCCGGCACGTCGAGGCGCGAGGCGGCCGCAGGAGGCTGGCGCCCAGGCAGGCGCCCGCTGGAGGTAGGGAAACATCAGACAATGCCCACTCGCAGGGCGGAACAGGAGGAGTCTCACACACACACACACACACACACACACACACACACGCACACACACACGCACACACGCACGCACACACGCACGCACACCACCAAGACCACCACCACCACCACCACCAACGGACCCAGGGAGCGGACAAGGCAAGCTGCGGGGGCCGTCGCCGTCCCGCCAGGGCCTGGCCCGCCGCGCGTGTTCCGCGGCCGCCTCGCCGCGAGGCCGCCGCCTCGCCGCCACAGCTGGGGCCGCGCCAGCCTGGCCAGAGGCGCCCCGCCGGGAGTTCGGTGCTGGAGGCGTCGCGCCGTCGTCAGCAGGCCGGCGGCGCGCAGCGGGGCGTGGGGGGAGGGGGGAGAGATTTTGGGACGAGGCTGCTTCTTAGAAAACGCCGGCCCTTACATCTACAGACAAGGCCCGCGCCTTCTAAGAAGCGGGGGTGCTTCTAAGAAGCCTTCCCCCCTCCCCCTAGTACCCCCCTCTGCGCGTGGCCGAGCAGGGCTGTCAACCGCCTGGGGGCCGCCCAGGGGGGGAGGCCGCCAGAAGGGGGCGGGAAGTCGTTGTCGCAGTCGTCGTTGGCGTCGTCATGGTCGCCGTCGGAGCCAGGCCACAGGCCGCCGCCTTTGTCCAAAACCCTGCCTGGACCGCCGCCGGGGTCGCCTGCCGGGCCGCCACCGCTGGGGCCGCCGCCGGGGCCGCCGCCGGGGTCGCCGCCAGGGTCGCCGCCAGGGCCGGCTGAAAAGGCCTCGGGGGGGTGCTCGAACTCTGAGCGGCCAACGCCGTGGCTAACAGCGCCACAAGGGACGCCAGCACAGCGTGGGAAGGCGGCTCGGCCGAGTCGAGCATGGTCCAGAGGAGCAGGGCCAGACAGGGCCACATCCCCTCTCCGTGCGGAGCGGCAGTCTCCGTCGACCGGTCCCGGGCGCGATCGGACGGGGATGCAGCGGTGCCGACGCGGACCCACGGCCGCCGCCGCGCCTGCCTGCGAGGCGTGCGACGGCGAGGTGCACCCTGCTGCCGAGCCTTCGCCACAGCCTGGCAGCGAGGGCAGCGATCTCATCATCGGAGCTCCCTGCCCCGCCCGCGAGGGCTCCCTGACACCACCGCCGCCGCCCAAGCCACACCCGCGTCGCCTCCGCTCCCGGGGACGGGCCGCTGCTCGGGTGGGGTCGCCAGGGGGCTCCGCCGAAGCGCCAAAAGGACGCCGCCGAGGGAGGGGCGGATGCGTTGCCTGAGGCCGCCCGGGGGGCCGCCAAGATCGCCTCGGAAGGTCCAAGGGCGCCCCCAAGAACCGCCGCCGTCGCCGCCTCATCGCCAATCAGAGCGCCCGCGCCGTCGTGAGTAGCCTGGTCGCTGCCACCGTGGTCGAACCAGGAGCAGCCGTCGAGACCGTCGAAACCTCCGTCGAGTGGGTCGGCGCAGAACGGGGGATCGAACCCGCACCCACCATCCCACCTAACCCGCACCTCCCTTCCCCCGCACCTCCCACCGAAATAAGGGAGAGTTCCTGCACAGACGTCGCGCCCTACTGCGGCGAGACGGAAACCGACTCCGGCTGGCCCGGCAGGCAGTGAACAGAACGAGCCCGTGTCGCTGCGCCTCTCTGCAAGGGCGAAGGCAAGCAGCCGGACGGAAGCGGCGATGGGGAGAGGGAGGCCTACGACCGCGATCGGGGACCACCAGCTGCCTGGAGGGACGAGTCTACAGTAGGAACTCGACAACAAGAAAGCTTCCACAAGAAACCCAACCCTGCGACCCCAGGACGTCCATTGAGTTCTGGTGTGGGAACGTCACGCTTTCCATAGCAAAACCATCAATATCCAAGAAACCCAGGGCACGCTGGAGGCAAGCAGGGTGTTTCTTGGCATGTGTTTCCACCGTACGCGCTCTCGTTAGCATCCGATTCACCCAGGCATGCAAAGCAGTGCGCCACGAGGGGGAGGCGGGGGAAGGAGAAGGAAGGGGCAAGAGCCGCAGGGCGGGCCGCGGATTCCTCAAGACAACGCGTCGCCCTCAGGGGCATCCCGTCACCAAGGCTGATGAACATGCCCAGCTTCATCAGCCCACCGTAGGACTGCACCTTGCCTGACATCTCGCCCGCCAAAGGGAATAACCATACGCGCACCTGCGCCCACACTTCATCCACTACGCGAGCACGTACCTCAAGTCGCGCATCCAGACGCCACTGCTGTCGAAGAGGCACGGCAGGCGAAGCAGCATCGACGTCTCGACCAGGCCCCCTAACAGCCCTCTCGGCATGGCTACAACCTTGCTCGCAGATGCAGATTCAGCAGACGGAGTGGTAGTCCACGATGACACGAACGTCGCCCAGGTAGCCCACGTCGGTCGCGCCATACAAATGCATGCAGCCCACGCCCGCGAGGTACTGACCCATGACCCACAGCGCCTCGCCAAGGACGTCTGCGGGCCGCAAACGGCCCACCCCAGCAACTTCGGCGGACACGGGGCTCGCTTCCACCACCCAGCACGCGAGGCCATGGATGCTCGCGCGCCACCACCGCCTGCGCCACCCGGCATCCGAGGCGCCCACGGCGTCCGCTGCGCGGAGAGCGCACGGACATCTGCCCCCAATCTGGGCCAGGGCCGCACCGACGCCGTGCATGCGGGTCCAAGCACCGCGGTCGCCGTGGAGAAGCCCGCCCTCGTCCAGTGAGAGCGCGGCGACCGCCAGCCCGGCGACGCCGCTGGCGAGGCAGGTGTCGGCCGTCGCCGCGACACACCGCGCGCCGTCGTACGGCAGATCGAGCCGCCTACCGGTCGCGCGGAGGCTGCCTGCACCCTGGCGGCAATAGGGGGAGGGCCAGCGCGAGCAGGGCTGCCGACACCGCAGCCGACAGCGCAGGGCGCCAGCACGCCACCATGGCAACACTCCAGCGCGGAGGGGAGTTCGAAATGATGGAGCCTTGAGCCTTGAGCCGAAACGCTTGAGCCAAAACGGCTACGGCCCCAAGATGCCTCCAAGAGGGCCCTCCAAGGCTCCCAGGACGGCCCCAAGAGGGCCCCGAGACCTCCCAAAAGAGCCCCAAGAAGAAGGCCCCAAGACATGTCAACGAGGGCCCCAAGGTGACCGCGAGACAGCCCCAATAGGACCAAAAAAATGCCTCAAGAAGACCCCAAGATGAATGGCAGAGTGCTTGTCCTTGTGTTTGTCCTTGTCCTCTTCCTCCTCCATTTACTACTACTACTACTACTACTACTACTACTACTACTACTACTACTACTACTACTACTACTATTATTACGACTACTACTACTACTACTACTACTACTACTACTACTACTACTACTGCTACTACTACTACTACTACTACTACTACTACTACTACTACTACTACTACGACTACTACTACTACTACTACGACTACTACTACTACGACTACGACTACTACTACTACTACTACTACTACTACTACTACTACTACTACTACTACTACTACTACTACTACTACGACTACGACTACGACTACGACTACTACGACTACTACGACTACTACGAACTACTATTACTAGTACTAGTAACTAGTACTAGTACCAGTACTAGTACTAGTACTAGTACTAACTACTACTCCTACTACTACTACTACTACTACTACTACTACTACGACTACTACTACTACTACTACCACCACTACCACTACCACTCCTAAAACTACTACTACTACTACTACTACTACTGCTACTACTACTACTACTACTACTACTACTACAACTACTACTACTACTACTACTCCTGCTACTACTACTATTCGACGACTACTACTACAGCTACTACTACTACTTCTTCTTCTACTTCTACTACTCCTCCTCCTCCTCCTCCTCCTCCTACTA